GAGGGTCTGGCACTCCATACAGACATCTTCATCCCTCGAGCTGCCAGGCCTGTCCTGACTTCTTTGCCCCCTCTGGGCAGCCTGGGCCTCCTCATTACCCATTTGCAGTCCTGCAGTGCCTGTTTCATGTAATCATTTCCACCAGTCATTTCCTTCTGATGTTTTTTCCCCCTCCAACAAGAAATCAGGATGCTGTGACTCAGGAGACAGACACACACCTGACCTGCACAAACACAGCACGACTGCCCCTATGTCACCCTGAGCAGTTCACTGATGTGATCAGGGGCAAGGCTGGCCCCTGATCACTGCTGTCTTTTCCTTCCTGAGACCACTGACACTATGCAGCTTTCCAGATCTTTGCAATTCCACCTGGATGGGAGCAGGCACAGGGTGAAAGCTGCAGAAAGCTTTTCATACTAAGGCTGTGCTATTGTTCCACTTCCAGCTTGCAGCTGACAAATACTTACTGCTCCCACCTCCCAGGGGGCTGAATTGTGAGCAGGAAATGGTTGTAAAAGATATACTTCTCTGAATGAGATCTTAGGAGCTGTAATTACCCTCTAGTGTCTCTGTGATTACTGCTGCCAGTGCTGAGCTATTGACAGCCCAGTGTCACTGGAGCTACCTGGTAGCTGTGCCAGCATCGTCAAAACGGGTCCCTGCTGTGAGGCAGAGCTGAGCATCTGTCCCTGCCCTTATTTTGGCTGAGGGTGGCCAGATGCAGCAGTGCCTGTGTGTGGGAAGGTGTGTTGGATCCGACAGTGGCCAGGCAGAAATGAGACATCCACATCTGATGAAGTCACAGCCTCGAATTAGTGAATTCAGCCAAGCTGATGGATGAATATAGATTTAGAGGAGCTGACAATCCAGTCACAGACATCTGGCAGAGATGGCACAAAGCACCTGTCCAGCCATGAGCTCCAGCTGCAGTGGGCATGATGTGGGTAGCAGTTATTGCTCCATGCACTTTGCTTTGGCAGAAGTGGCCCAGGGCAGGTACAACACCTGCGAGCCTCTGTCCCAACAGACCATCGGGGAGATGTGCTGCTTTTGCTGGAGGTCATTGCTCAGAGTAGGATGGTAGAAAAATGGTATAAATAGACATGTATAGAGTGTGGGGCTGGCACAGGAGATGGGAAGTGAGAGATTTTGTGAGCTTGCCTTCACAGATTTTGGGGAAGGGTATGGTGCATCTTGAGAGTAGGATAATGTCAGCACCTCCCTTCGACAGTTTCACAGAGACTTCAAACAGTCTTTGATGCCTGAAACAGAACAAATTTAAAGTGCCTTTTTTCTCTGGCTGTAGAGGAAACTCCATGGTGGACATGGAATAGGGTTAATGGTCCTACCTCTGTGTTGACAGGAGGCCAGGGGAAAGGGCTGTTGCTCTTGTGCAGAGGTCTAGCATTAGCAGGTGCCTTGTTTGTGTCTGTATTTCAGGGCCCCTGGACTCAGGCTCCTGTGACATGCTCTTTTCCAGCAGGAAGGAGTAGCAAATTTTAGAGGATTAGAAGAAATCAAGCCTGTGCATGCATCTGTGCTGTGACAAACATGCTGGTAGTTCAACATCACAGCATTTGTAGCTGTGAGGCTTGCTCCCAGAAGGAGTTGGAATATCAGTATAGCTCTTCAAACACTTAAAATGTCATCATTAGCTCCTGGGCCATGTGTCACATTAGTGCTGTGAATCGCAGACCATGTTTACTTGGGTAACAAGATGAAACTGTGTTATAACACTGTCACCAGAAAGTGTGGGGGAAAAGGATTTGGATTTGGATCTGACCATAAGGTAGGAGCTGGTACTGAGTGTTTGGTTGAGTGCTGAGGATATGTGCCTTGGATCCTGCTCTCATTCTAGTTTTTCCTGCTCCTGTCATTCATTGATCCTTTTCCTTTTGATACTGCTGTCAAAACCCTTACGTCTACTCAGAAGAGAACTGCACCAGCAACATTAATATTATTAAAATACCCTGGACTGGAAAAAAAAAAAAGAGGGAACGGCAGTTTTTTGAACACTAGTTCTTTAGTTTTTGATGCTGAGCTGTCTAGATCAGCGGAGGAGAGCAGCTGTTATGTTCTTCCACCAGCTGGCTGGCTGTAGTACCAGTTTTTTTGGCTTTGGAGTCTCTTATCCCTCCTGCTGTCTGCATTCATTTCTTTCCTCCTCATGAACACTACGCAGTCCAGACTATCAAACACAGGAGTGATATTCCTGCATCTTCTTACCAGCCCTGCCAGTCTTCTAGTTGCTGACTTGGCCACATACTCCCTGGTAGTCTGAGGGTGCCAGCTTTAGCCTGGCCAGGCTTCCCTCATCTTCCTTCCAGGGACTGAGCATCTTGACAAGGTAGGACTTGGGGAAATGGCCAGTGGCATTTAAAACACCCAACAGACAGCTGCTGCTCCCGCCCTCAATCCATTTCTCACCTCTGATGTAACAACAATAATCCTTAATATTATTTTTCTTTATAAGGTTAATTGTAAGGTTGCAATACGTGAGCTGGGGTTTCCTTTCCTTGAAAAACACAGGCACATCTCCTTGGACAATCTGGCTAATGCTGTAGGATGATCTCTGGAAGGGATTTGGGGCACAGGCCTCACTGATGGACTCAGGGCTATTGGAGATGACAGGGTTGTGGGTCAGGTCATGCTGCCAGTGAGAGCTGTTGGGTGTGCTGCTGCTGCAGGTGTTTCAAGGCCATTGCAAAGGAGGTAAGTGACCTTGGGGTAGTGGCTGGTGGGGCAATGGGTGACCTGTGTTATAAAAGAGCCAGGCATGCAGAGCTTGGTGTTTATCTCTTTCTTGCACCACAGCACCTAGACATGAGGCAGCGCCAGATCACTGGGGGCTAAGTTAAATGCAGGTTTGACATTATGAAAAAAAAAAAAGACAAAACATGATAATTGTTGGAGGTGCTTAAAAAAGGTTGGCAACATGAACTCATATCTGGCTAGGGACAGGGGTATAATTTTGATTTTGACACAGGTCAAAAGGAAAAGGAAAATACATCCCACAGTATCAGTAGGGGTCAGGTGGGGACCTGTGCCATGGGAAGAAGAAGGAAAACATCTGCTGAAGGTATGGGCACAAGAATGAGTGGCTTGAAGGTGACCATGTTGAGACCAAGGAGCTGTGGGGAAAGCAGTGGGGCCACATTGGCACTGGAGCCTCCCTGCATGGGACGCAGGAGGAAGGAGAAAAATTATACTCATCACATTCAGCACCTTGCAGTCCTCACAGGACAAACACACATGGACTGTGGGCTGGTAATGAGGGGGGAATAGGAGGAGATTGTGAGGATGAAATTACACCCAGCAGCAAACTGACATGTCTGGTTTCACAAGATGCTCTGTCCAGCATGAGGCATGTCATCTGGATGCTGTTTTCTACAGCCTGAGCGAATTTAGATAACCTGCAGAGCCCTGGCTCAATCCTGACCCTGTCCAAGTTTCCTTCAGTCATTTATTTCACAGTGCCAGCATCTCCTGTGAATGCGGGCAAAGCTACAGCCTTGTCCATGTCCCAGTGGCACATATTGTGGCCTGAGTTTTCCAGAGCAGAGGCTGCATCCCCTCCCTGTCCAGCAGCTGGAAGGAGCACTGGAATGCTACACTTAGTGCAGAGAGTGGAATGCTCCCTATACACCTTCATTTAGTATTTCCCTTCTTCCTGGCACAAGCGCCTGTGTGGGCATGAAAAGAAGACAAGCACTCTCTTTCTAGGATGGTTTTGTCCTCCTGCCCCAAGGTACAGGACAAGGCTGAGGCCTGGCAGGGAAATGGTCCCTGTGGATTTCAGCACCCTGGCCCATGGCACAGGGCAAGGTTAGGTTGGAGGATGCCATCCCTGGGATGGGGTCCAACGCTTGGCGTGGGTGACGCTGTAGTTGTTTGTGTGTGTCATGGCGGGAAGTGTGTGAACGGGATAAATTTAGCAGCCAAAACACAGGGTCAGCACAGTCCGTCATTAACTGCCCTCCTGCCTCATCATCCTGCAACCACAAGGAGCTTTTTTGGGGCTGGGGGAAGCGTGGGAGGCCGGTTCCCGGTGACAGCTCCAGGCGCAGCAGCGCTGCCCGGAGGTGCCATTGGCTGCCCCCGGCCGGGGCTGGCACTGGCCAGCAGTTAAATTCCTGCCTGCCAACCCTGGGACACACAGCCTGCAGCATTCCAGCACAGGCAGCCATTCATCCCTTCCCCAGCACCACAGGAGACGCAGGCTCGCACCACACCTTGAGGTAAAGGTTTCTTTGGGTTGATCTGGCGTTGCCTGGAGGGAAAATGGCAACGTTTGGGAAAAGGGGGAAAGATTTTCTCACAAGTTTTGGTTGAAAGCAGGAGGCTTATCATCTGGGATGTAGGTGTTGCTTTGTCAGGGAAGAAATCAGAAGTGTGCTCATTCCAGCATCTTTTGGATTCAGGGTGATGTTCAAGTGTTCCAATAGGGATGAGGTGCTGGGCTGCTTAAAGAAAGTGCTTGGAAAATCAGAGCAGAGCTGGAGGAAAGCCCCCACTGCTTTATCTGCCTGCCAGGCAGCAGTGCTGTTTGGGTGCCCACCCAGAGGGCTCTGGAGATGCAGCTCTCAGTGGCGTTATCTCATTGGGATGCTCCACTTTGAAACATTGGGAGGTTTTATGAGGCTGTGGGGACCACTCCAGGTGGGAGGTGCAGCTCTGCTGCCCTTGGCCGCACAGTGCTGCCCATCCGAGGTGCAGGCTCCTGTCACAACCACTGAGCTCAGCTGGGTGGTGACATTACTATGTCCAGGGAGCAGGAAACTCAGGAGAGCTTTCCTGCTCCTTCATGATACTCAGACAAAAAAATCCACCAGTACACGGTTCAGTATTTCAAATCCCAAACTAAAGGGAAGTTTCTGCGCAGGAGGTGCCAGGAGGTGGCACAAGGACAAATCCCTGGCTTGTTTGATGACACGCCAAGCTGAGCACTGGGATCTGGGAGGGCTTTGTGGGGCCAAGTTCTAGCCAGAGGCACATGCAAAGGCTTTGCTCTAGCCTGCAAATATTTCATTCCTTGTTGCAGGCACAGGTACCACGACATGAGGGCTGTATTCCTGGTGCTGCTCCTCTGGGATGTGGCCTATGCTTACCCTGTAAGTACCCCCTGGACTGACACTCCCACCCCAAACCCCTTGGTTTTGCTCAGCCAAGGCACACTGATCACTGATCAAATTTCTCCTGGATGTGTTTAGGTGCCTGGCCATGAACCCACCCACCCCAGTGCCCTGCAGGAGGTAAGCCACAGGTGCCCCTGTCCCACAGGGAGCAGTCCCTCAGGGAGCAAGTCTGGGATGGGGAGCCAGCCCTGGGCAGGCATCCTTGGACCAGGAACCTGGGAGGGATCTGCTGCTTCTGTGGGTCTTTGAGCTTTGTCTGTCTGCTCAGTCTTTTCAAGCTGGGCTGGTTTCACCCTGTTTTGACTTGCCTTCCTGAAAAAGTTCCCAGTTCACCTGACACCTTTGCTATGCTGGCCCTGAAAAAGCAGTTTCTGTGCTCTGAACTAGCCCAGCTTGGGCTTTTCTGGGCTGCCCTTTTGTTGATGGCAACCATTTTATTTTGTATCTGCAGATATAACTAAAGGGCTGAGGTGCAAGAAATAGAAAAGACTTGAGCTTTTGCATGGCTTGGGAATGAGGTCCTGCAGCAGCAGCAGCAGTAAACGTGCTGTGGTTGGTGTTTAATAAACCAAAAGCACCATGTCATGTTTTGCCTCCAGGATACTGCAAATGAAGATTACATTGGCAAGCTGGGCAACCACCTAGATGGTGGAGATGGCAGACATCCTCCTGCCAGTCCAGAGGCAGGGGAAAATGCACTTGCCAGGGACCTGACGGGTGGGAATGCCGTGGATGAGCTCAGTGGCCAAGATGTGGGAGGCCGAGCTGGGCAGGCTCAGCATGTGAATCAGGACCACAAAGACGTGAGCGTCCGCAATGGGAATGACCTTGGTTTCCTGGTGAGTGAGTGAGTGGAGAGGAATGTTTTGTTCTGCCGGGAAAGCTCTCTTGGCCCCAAAGCTGGCATTGGTCAAGGCTGTGCTTGGCTGTGCATTCATCTGTTTGTCACCTCCGTAGGAGGTGGATGCGCGTGACGCTGACGATGCTGACAATGGAGACCACTACGGCACCAGCGCCAGCAGGTTTCCCTCCCACGGCGGCGGGTTCCTGGACGAGGAGGATGACAGCGGGGACGACACCTTCGATGCCAATGGGGAAGAGGAGAGGGGTGAAGGCCCCACCTACGTGGCTGGTGCTGATGGGGCAGGGGAACACGAGCATGATGCTGGCCGTGGGGCCGGCATGGGGCATGGCGACAGCAGCAGCAGCAGCAGCGAGAGCGTCGGGGCAGACCACCAGCGCTACAGGAGCTACGGCTTTGGCCGTGCTTACAGGCACAGAGGGGCCAGCAGCAGCAGCCAGGAGGAGGAGAGCTACGACTTCCACGATGAAGCTATGCAGGGGGATGATCCCTCTGTCTTCGATGGCCCAGGCAGCAGCTACAGGATGCGCCACGCTGGCCCCCGTGCTCTGGGGAACAGCGGGGACAGTGCCCAGGGGGCTGGCTCCCACCACTGGGAGGAGGGTGACAGCAGGTCCCCTGAGGTGGAGGATGGTGACTCTGGAGAAGACAGCCCATCTGTGGAGAACAGTCAGTCAGAAGAGCCTGTTGACAGCCAGTCAGAGGAAAAAAGCTCCAGCCACTCCAGGGAGGATGGGGATGGGGATGGGGAGGATAGCCCCTCCAGGGAGGATGAGGACAGTGAGTCCAGGGAGAGCACTGCTGAGCAGTCAGATGAAGAGCTAGGGGAGACCCCGGAGGTGGTGAGAACCTTGAATGAACACAGCAACAGTCGAACATGGGAACAACAGGAGGACTGGGATTCTGCTGAGGACAGGAGTGTGCCATCCACACCTGACAGTGAATCCAGGGAAGAAGAGGGTGAACTGAACAAGTCCAGTGAAGATGATGATGACACTGTGGAGGAGTCAGAGGAGAATGAGAATGACTCTGTGCCAAGCACATCAGCTGAGAGCCCAGAGTCCCCAGAGGATGACAGCAGCCCAGAGGACAACACAGGTGAGGACAGCAGGTCCACAGAGAGCGACAACAGCGAGTCCCAGGAAGATGAGGATGACATGGAGAGCCACTCCCAGGAGGATACCACCCGTGAGTCCAGCAGCCACGGGGATGACAGCTCCGTGCAGAGCCTGGAGAGTGGGGGCCGCAAGCAGCGGCTGGGCGCCCTCCGCCACAGACCTGCTGCTGACTATGATGACAATGACTGCCAGGATGGGTACTGACCTGTGCCCCACGGCCTCGGCGGCACGGAGGGTGTGGGGGGAGGAGGGGTTAATTTATTTGCCATATAGCCTGAGTGACTTCTTCTCGAGAAGGTGCTGTGGTTAAAACAGAGTCGGGTTTGCCGGGGCTAGGCCTGGGCATGCTACAAAGGGAGAGAAAGGGTTGCCAGGCACATGGAAAACACTGAACCACAGCAAGAAAAGGTATTTTCTGTATCAAGCTGGAGAGCAGCTGAGGGCTGTGAATGCCAGCAGGGTGATGCTGCCCACTTGCCCCAGTGGCACAGTGGTGGCTTGGCACTCCTGGGCATGCTGGGCAGGTCCCTGTGTTCACCTCTTGTGTTTACCTACCACTGCCCTTAAACACATCTGCCCAGACTACAATTGGAGCTTTCCATTAACTCCATGTCCAGCACATAAAGAGAAAAAGCTACAGCTGGTGTGCACACCTGGTGCATGGGCACAGCAGGGTGTGAAGTACCACTTCAGGATGGGATGTATGTAATATTTTTATTATTTTGTAAGAAATGTACAGAAAACATTATACTGTATCCTTTTTGCACTTGTATTTCAAAGCTGAAATATACCCTGTTGATTTCCTTAATCACCATTAAAACCACCAAACTCCACTGTAGTGTGGTTTGAGGTGTTGCTGGTTTTTTCCTCCTGGGTGTGCCAGGATCTGCAGTTTGGGGTCGGACCAGAAGGAGTGGGAAGTAAAGGGCAGGATACTTGTGTGGGGAGCCACAACATGCTGGGAGGAGGGGGAAAGCAAAAGCTGAGGGTGCTCGCACTCCCTCTATTTCCAGGTGCCCCGAAGGTGATACCTGCCCCCTGGTGAATCCACAGTGGGGTGGAAAGTCTGGCTGATTACCCCAGTGAGCTGGGCCTGAGGCTTTGCTGTATTGGGGCCATCACCTCCTGCAATGTGACCAAGGGTTGTGCTGCTCTTCCTGAAGTGTTGGAAAGGTGTCCCAGGGCACGAGGACTCTTCTGATCCATTGGCTCTGTGTGCCCATGGTGGCCCCTGGTACCAGGTTCCCTGCAGTAGAGAAGCAAGTGAGCAAGGTAAAGGTGTTACTATGTGTAAAGCCTGTTTTACTCTGTGTGACACTTGGTTGGTTTTTTCCCTCCTATTAGCAAGTAAAAAACATGTTATTTAAAGTCACATTATTTTAAATGCCACCCAGGCCCTTCTTCCTTGTTCATGTGTGCAAGACAAGCAGTGCAATGTGGGTTTTGATGCTGACAGGTGAAGCCTTGGGCTGTTGTGTCACTGTGCAGTTTCCCAGCATGGAGTTTTGGCTCTGCAGGGCACAGTCCCCAAGGGGCCAGGGTGAGTGGGTACACTCCATCCAAGTGCCAAGTCTCAGAGGTGTCACTGCTGAGCACTGCATTACCAAATTCAAGAACCAGTAAAAAAATTAAATATTTTTCTGCTACTTATAGCAGAACCACACTTAATTTGTAGCCTGTTTCTACCACTGTGAAGGCTGGGAGCCCAACAGCTCCTTGTTCTAATGGAAATTATGTTTTTTAATTTTCACCCTTTGTAAACCTTTTTCTGCTTCTGTATGAGATCAGCTCTGAAACTTGTGGCTTCCCTATGCTGCTGCCTTGGGAATGAGCCTCTTTCCTGACACTTCATCCCCCTAGTTCCCACTTCACTGTGAATACCTCAGCTATGGCGTGGCTCTTATTTTTCGGACACCTCACATCAGTTGTGTGAATAGCTGGGGATACTGTGATGGAAGTGATGCCTATCAGGCTCATGGGCACCAAAATTCTGGGGTGCAGCCCCTGCACTGGGGTGAAAGCCAGCAAGAGTGGCTGTCTTGGGTTTGGCTGCAGCCAAAAGGGCTGGGTCACACCCCTGTGGCTGTGGTTGGGAGCTGTGGCAATGGTGTGTTTGTTGTAGCAGGGCAGGCAGGACTGGGAGCACTGCTGCTGCTCAGACAGAGGGACACTCTGGTGCTGCCTGTGTCACAGGGCTGGCTCACACTCCGGGCCATCGGAGGGGATGTTCCGTAGGACAGCTGGTGGGGGTGGGCATGGAGCAGTTTTTTTCCAAATTCCTCCAGGAAGAGGAGTGCAACTCTGCAGTGAGCCCAGCCTGTGAGAAGGATGATCGGGACCTTTCAGGAGTGGGGCGAAGCTACTTCTTGCAAATTTGTCCATGACCTTGTGTCCATCATCATCCTTGTGGGAATGCCAGGGTGCACAGCAAGCTGGCACAGCTGGGCAGGGGATGTGTCCCCATCCTCCTCATTTCATGCATAGAGAGAAAAACTGGATTGATTTGGGTTTAGCGTGAGCAGGAGGCAAGAGTGCCTTGCAAGCAGGGCCGAGGGTATCCGGCTGCGTGCTCCTGGGGACGTGTGCCACTGCACTTGTGTCCTGGACAGCAACGCCCAAAACTTACCTCCCGCTGGCTGGCTGCTCCCCAAAAGCCAGGGAGCCGCTGCCAGAGCTGACTGCTGCCTGCCAGTCCTGCCAGGACAGCTTCCCACGGGACCATCCCTCCTGGGTGATGGCTTTCTCTGGGACAGCCTCCTGCCTGGCCGCAGGGAGGGAGCCACTTGTGTTGGGATTGGCCCAGAACCTATCAAGGACATCTGCGAGGTTTTGGGGGACACTGGTGGTATCGGACTATCCCTATCAAATGCTGTTCTTCTCTGTGTTGGAATCTGTGGTATTGATGATTCCAAGATTGTAGAAAGTCTCTGTCTTTCTGCCCCGTTGCCAAAGAAGAAGCCATAATTGGTCTGTGCTGGTTTCAGGGTTGTTTATTCTGTTTATCTCTAACATGTTCTGCTGCCCTGCCGCAGCTCTGTCCTGCAGGGCAGCGTGTGGGGCTCTGCCCTCAGTGGGATGTTACAAACATTAAATACCAGAAACTCCCTGTGCTGGATTTACAATAATGTGCCAATATCTGTCACCTACGTTGAACAGTGTGTCCCCAGCCTGAACCAACAGAAAAATGCCAACACCACAGTGAAACATGGAGAGCATGAAGAAGGAGGAAAAGGACAAGACACACCCAATTTCCTCCATCTTGTGCCCTTTGGACCCCTAATCTAGAATCCTAAAATTTTACTTTTGCACCCGTGCCACACTTAATTATTACTTATATCAAACACTCAGAGCTTGTAATTCATCCTGTAAGATTGAAAAGTCTTTTCCATGGCCAGAGATCACAGACAGTGTCTCTGGGGTCTCTGTCCAGGGGGGTTCCTGACCCCTGCCAGGGTCCCAGACCTGCCAGGGCAGCCAGAGGGAAGCCCTGGATTCCCACACTCTCTATGAGCAGGGCCACCCTGCTTGATATCTGGAAGGGCTTCATGATGGGTAGGACTTCACAGGGTGAGGTTTTGGATGGACAGAGGGAGTGGGACCAAAATATGCTCTCTGGGGGGATTTAAAGGCATTTTTAGGAGTTTATGTAGTTGATTTTTGTGCCACGTGTCTGTGCACTGTGAACATTGGAGGGGAAAACTCCTGCTCTCTGCTGTTGGGCTGGCAGGACAAGCAGCTGGGAAGGTCAGCCACAGGCTCTGACATCTCTGGAGATGTTCCTGCCTTCAGTTTCAGAATGATTATGTGATGAAATTGTCAGATTCATTTTTCCCAATGGGTTAGGCAGGGATAAAAAATGCCCACGTCAATGTATGCTTTTATTATCCACCCACGTGACATTCTTTGTGCATTGGGGGTGGCCTCCAGAGCTGAATGCAGCAATTTACTCAGAAATCAGCACTGGGTTTTAAAGCAAGTATTTTTGGACCCATTTGGGTTTTTGAAAGCATGAGCTTGCATAATCTTAAAATAAAGGTTTCTTGTGTTGCTTTTCTTTTTTTTTTTTTTTTTTTTTTTTTTTTTTTTTAAGAAAAAAATTTTTTTTTTTTTTTAAGTTGCTGGTGTGGCTGAAGTGGTGGGAGGTGGCAGTGCTGAGCCTGGCTGTGCCAGCTGAACTTGGGGCAGCCACAACATACAAGCTGTACTTATTCAACCCTATTATTTTCCTGGACTTGGTGGGAGAAACACAGAGACCCCTGCACTTGCAGACTACATCTCCATCCAGCAGTGGTTTTATTGACAGTGCAAACAAATTTCCTGAGCTTCTCATGGTGATCTGAGTTCCACAGCTGGCTGCAGGGCTTTTCCTTGGCCTGTGTTTGTCTTTAGTGAAATGGGAATATCTGTGGAAGAAACAATGCTAAAGTCACAGAATGGTCTTGGTTGGAAGGAACCTTAAACGCCATCTCAAGCCAACCCCCCTTCCATGGGCAGGGACACTAGACCAGGTTTCTCAGAGCCCCATCCAACCTAGTCTTGAACACTTCCAGGGATGGAGCACCTCCTACTTCTCTGAGCAACCTGTTCCAGTGCCCCACCACTCTCACAGCAGAGAATTTCTTCCTAGTATTGAATCTAAACCTTCTCTCTCTCAGTTTGAAGTCATCCCCCCCTTGTCTTGTCACTACACGCCCTTGTAAGAAACTTATCTTCCTCTTTCTTGTAGGCTCCCTACAAGGTCTGATGGGATTGTCTCTTCTGTGCTCCCTGTGATGGAATTCTGCTGTGGGAACCAGTCCTCTCCAAGCACACACTGGGCTCAGGAGAGTTTGATTACGTTTCTCTGCCCTTTTCAATGGAGAGTAAAAAACCTCTGACGAAATCACTGAGGCCATCAATCTGAACAAAAGAAATATCCCAGACGTGGGAAAACAGCCTTTGACCTCAGTGAAACCCCAAAATGTTGCAAACCTTTTGAATGCTTGAAGGAAATTTTTTTTCCAGCTCCCTTTTACTGCCATGCACTTTGATGGCAAGTAACTTCCCCATCCCTGGCTCAGCCATGTCTTGGGAATTTTCTGGTCCTCCCAGCACTGCCCAAGGAGATGGGCACCATAGGATGGTACAAGTAAAGTGTGTTAGCATCCACCTGTACTGCATCCCCCCCAACTCATGATGGAAACCTTAAAGCTTCAGAGTGAGCAAATGCTTTGCAGTTCAGTTTTTTCCTGTTTCCTGAAATGCAAAGCTTCAAAGAGCTGTTGTATTTTAGCAGAAGGCATCAGGTTACTGAACACAGGGACAGAAACTGCACCTGGGGGGCCGAGGCAACACCTGCCCTTTCTGTCCTAGACCTGATATTGTTTCACCTGCAGAGCAAAAAGGGGTTTAATGACAGTGTGAAAACTTTGCAAAGCCACCTTTTAAAAAACAGAAATGAGTTCCTGAGTATTAAGGTACTTTTTGCAGAAGACACTTACTTCTCTATGTATTCTGGCCAGTTTGGATGGAGCTTTGAACAACCTGGTCTATGGGAGGTGTCCCTGCCCATGGTAGGGGATTGGGACTAGATGAGATTTAAGGTCCCTTCCAATTCAAAGCCTTCTGTGATTCTGTGATATGTGGATACATACATCACTCTTCTGCAACTGATGTGTGTGCACAATAGCAAATAACCAGTGCAAGAGCAGCAGTTCCTGCTGACACCCGCAGCACACTCTGCCTCTGCTGCAAGTGGGGACTTTTTAATGCCAGACTCAGGGGTTTTAGCAAGCTAGAGCAATATGTGCTGTGGCAGGTAGGTAGGCAGCCATCAGCAGTGCAGCTCAGAAGTGTGCTTCCACACCATCCAGATGCCTGAGGGTCCAATGTTGCTGTCGAGGCAGGACGGGAATGAAGAGATTGACTTAGAAGGCTGTTGAGAGTAAAACTCTGCTTTATTTAAAATATACTGCTCTTTTATATAGAGCTTCACAAGGACTAAATGTATTGGTTCTGAAGTGAAAACAATTTATACTATTGGTTTAGAGTGCTTGACGCACAGTGATAGAACTTAACTATAAACAATGTGAAAAACAAGAGAGATAAAGAATTATTTACATTCTTTCCCAGCACTTTTCCAGGCTTTTTGCCTGGCTAGAAACTCTCAGTTTCTTTCTTTGACTGAATATGAGACCCACAGTCCAAGGACACTGATTTAATTTTGTTGGAGAGCTCAGTTCCTGAGCTGGGTGTGCAGGCAGTTGGTTGCTACTTCTGCAATGAACACAAGCTATCTTCCTGCTTGCCTCCTGAAAATCAGGTCTTTTGGGGGGTTTATTTGCCTTTTTCTCCTGAGGATGTGTTTGAGGGCTCTCACATGTGGATGAAGGCAGAGACATCTGGGGGGACCAAACCTGGTAACTTGCTCTAGCTGATAAGGAGTTTCTTGTTCCTGAAAAAAAGTAAAACAAACAAACAAACAAAAAAAAACCAAACAGAGGAGATCTAATATACAGATATTGCTCAAACACGTGAGGGCCTGGGTGATTTGCTGGGTTTGGTTCCCAGAGTTCAGGGTGTTTCAAAATGCTCACATTACAGAGCTACTCCTGGCCTGCATTTTGCCAGGAAATAGAATTAATTTCCTTTTTCTGGTTTCTGTTCAGACAAAAAGGAAAATAATGCAAAACATTCAGTTGCAGAGGGCAAATATATAAAGGTTATGTGCTGATAATGGAGACTGATACAAGGTGCATTTTAGATATTCTCCCCTCACACTTTTATTCTAAAATTGGACATTGGCAAAAGAATAATGAGCTGTGTGTGCAGCTGATACTGGTTTGCCTTTGTGTTTGTGCTCTGAGAGGTAAGGGGAAAGAGAACCATTCCTTATTCTTATGCTGTTTCTCCCTCTTTTTGCTCATCACTTCTCTCCCCAGCTGGTGACAGTGGCACACAGACTCCTGTCCCTGATAGTATGTAGGGAGAGCTGGAAGCCAGGGCAGTCTCTGCCTCAGGTGACCCCTATATGGGTTTTGGGGTGCCCTGGCTGCTGAGCTGCATGGCAGGGTGCTCCTTTCCCTGGCTGCAGCAGCACCTTTGTCTCTTCCCATCATGCTCAAAGTGCCCTTCTGGTTTTGTTTTCTTTACTTATTTTTGGTCCTGAGGTTTCCTTTCAGAATAGCTGCAGGGCATGGAAATAGGATGGTGTGGCTTCAGCCCTGCAGTGTGCCCGGGTAGGGCAGGAGCACTCTGCTCTGCTCATTTACCACTCTGCAAAAATAATAACTAAATCTGGACTCAGGAGCCATGTCAGCCTAAGCCAGACAGGGACACTCTGACCCTGAGGTCCTCAGGGGCTCGTGCAAGTACACCCAAAATGTACAGGGTGCCCTTGCTGGATGCAAGCTGCAGCACAAAGCTCAGGCCAGTGGCTGGTGCAAACCCCCCCACTAGACCACATTGGTTAAAACTCCATCCTTTGGAGGCAGATAAGCTGTTCTGTGTTTTGTTTCCAGCAAGGTGATATAATTTCATAATTATAAAATTATATTTCATAATTATGAAATTTCAATTGCTTTTAATAACAGATTCCTTTCAGACAAAAGGGTGATTCCTCCAAGCCCTGCCACCTTGGAGAGACGGAGTTTTTCCAAAAGCATTAAGGGACCAATGCTCCACGCCTGCCATGTGATTATTTTTAAAGGAATTTTAAAAAGTAAATTTCAACTGACAATGTTTTGGATGTGCTGGCTGAGTTCCCTGCTGGTCTCTCACCATGGTGCCAGTGAGGTTGCTGCTGCTGGCAGCCTGCCTGGGCAGCACCCACTCCAGGAGCTAAACATAGGTGCTGCCTGCACAAAGCACTTTGGCACATGTTAATTATCCTGGTGCTTTTTAGGAGTCTTGGGTGAAATATGTGTTTTTATAGCCAGTTTTCCATATTTTTTTTAAGCAGCCTGGAGCAGAAGCCCTTTAATTACATTAAAAATTGCCTCCCACCAGGACTGTCTGTTCCCAAGCCCTGATGAAATTTTAAGCTCAAAGCCAGCACATGCTCACTGCTTTCCTAGGCCAGGCAGCTTAGGACAGCAGGGGAGAATGGGAAGCCAGGGCTATCTCTGCCCTGAATGCCCAGCAAGGCACCCCCTCCAGCTGCTCCAGCCCCATGGGAGTTGGGAAGGACATAGGAATCCTCACAAATGCTGATCTCTCTCTTTATCAGAGGCTGCTGCGTTGGCACAGAACTGAGGATGAGGTTGGCTTTTTTTTTTTTTTCTTTCTTGGGGGGTGTTTTTTTTTGTGTGGGTTTTCCTGGCACAAGGTGTCAGCTGAAAGCCATGGCCAGCTCCAGGCCTCCCTTATAATTAGGATTCTTTGCAGTGACACAAGGGGCTTTGAAGCCTGTGGGGTAGCTGTGCTCTGCAGCCCCCAGGGGTTGCATGGTGGGCATATGGCATGGTCTGCTGCCAGGGGTTCTGGACCCTCGATGGGCTATGGGGGACCTCTCTGTCCCCAGAAACAAGTTATGTTCATAGTGTTCCCTCAGCAACTAACAAATCCCCATCATGTACCTGTGTAGTCCTGTACCTGCTGGGCTCCCCTGCATGTAGTTGAGGCTGGTTTTGCCCCTAGTTTTGAGAAGAAACATTCAGGTATTTTGTGACAAAGTGGATTTGCCTGTTTTAAATAACCACAGTTTTACCACTAGCTAAGCTGACCATTACAGATTTATTTTTCAGCCCTTCTCTTCCTTCTCTTCCTTCTCAGGCTGGAGCTCTGAAAGCATCAAGTGGGATTTGCAGCTCTCCTTGCCACTACAGGAAGCAAAGTTGCATTCGGTGAGGAGTCATTCCCTGAACTGCTACAGCCCAGATGTGCAGGAGCTTAGGGATCTTTGCTGAGGAGTGCAAGAAAAATCTGGGAAAGAAGGAGAGAGGTGCACTGGAGAGCTGGGTGGATGAAATCCAAGCAGGAAATTATAAATATAGGTAAAGGAGAAAAGACATCTCTGCAGAGGTGGGTGCAGGGGGCAGCATCCGCTTGCTGTATCCTGTCACCAAGGTCCCCAGTGTGATTTGAGTGCACATGTGGATGGGCTTTTTTCATTTCCCCCCCTTATTCTGCTTTGCTGGGGACATACACAGATTTCAGCTGAGCAATGCCTGATTTTTGAGAGCAGGGGACTGGGCTGGCCCCTGTGTGGGTCTGCGTAGTTGGCAGAGCATTAGAAACAAAGCAGACATGCATTTTGTAGCAACACTATGGAGGAAATAGCTCTCAAAGGGGCACTGGTGACACCTGTATCTAGTCCCCTTTTCTTTACCTTCTCTTACCACGGCCTTTGCAGGCATTCTGGAGAGGGAATTTTTTTATTTAGTTAGTTTTTTGGGTTTTTTCGGTCTAACGGCTCTGCACAAGTGGCTGTGGGGCTGGGCCTTCAAGGTCGGTCTTTTTGTCTACTTGAAAACACAGTGACAGAATTTCCCAAAAAGGGAGGTAGACACTCCCCAGGAACAGATTTCCCAATATTTTTTTTAATTAAAACCCAAAGTGTTATTACATCTTGGCCTCCCAGCCGCACATCTGAGGCCAGACCCTCAATTAAGCGGCGCAGCGCAAACCTCGCTGGGTTTGGCAGAGGCATGGGGCGCTATGTTTGTGCACCAAATCTGCCAGCGTTGAAGTTTTGGAGGGTTTTTGGTGCATGCTGGAGAGCTGGCGTCACTCCGGACAGGGCGGTGACTGGCCTGGGGGGAGCAAAGCCAGGCCTTATATCCCAGCAGGGCAGCAGCGGGAAGAAATCTGTGCCGGCTGACTCCGTGGATAGCTCTCAGTGCTGGGGCAGGGTAAGCTTGCTGCTGCTTTTCCCTGCTCACTTATGCATTGATGTCTGCTTTTTGCAGGGAGATGGGAGGGTCAGCTTGCTGGCAGGATTGGGGTGCTGCTTTTAGTCCTTTCCTGGATCTGTGGCTTCACGAAGCACTTGGATGGAGGGGATGAGCATCCAGAGCCTTGCTGTGAGATCAGAGAAACTTGTAGCCACTTGTTTTACAGCCTGAATTAAGCAAATATAAGCAAATTTCAAGCACAGATAAGTGTAATAACAATTCCCTACAAGCACTGCTGGTACACAGGCAGAGGAGAAAGGAAGGTTAGTGGGCCTGTTGAGCTCAGGGGGATGCTGGGAGCATTGTTCCCTGGGGGAAGGCTGGGGTGCTGCTGGAAGGATTGGGTGTGCTCCTTTCTCCTTGATGCAGGAGGGCAGGCTGTGCTGTGGTGCTTTGGGTGTCAGCTCAGACCTGCCCAGAGCTAAATCCCCTCCAGCTAAGCTTGTGTGGAGCTCTTTGCATTGGTGCCTTGCCACTGCTATTTTTGCCAATGGCAGGCTGTGAAGCCAATTATTTCCATTTTGTTTGTTTTTCCTCAGTGAGGTTACACTGTCTGTGGTGTAATTCCCAGGAGCACTGCTTCCTGGGCAAAGCCCAAGCAGGTCTTGGAACTATGGAAGGGTGTCCGCAGTGGGCAGTGCTCCCAGCACTCCAGCTGCTCCTGTTGCATCTCCAGTGGGGCTTGGCTTTCTCCCCTCCCTTAAGGGCAATGGGGAAACAGGAATAAGTCATACTTCTCCAGGTAAGCTTTGAGTTCACTACATGGTGAAACTTGCTTTTCTGGCTTTTTGTGGCTTCTAGAAAAAACAAAACATATTCATGGAAGTTGAGGCAGATCTTTAAAAGAAAGAAGAGAAAGAAATAATTTGGTCTACAGAGGGGTTGGGTGACCTCAGCAGGAAAGGCTGGAGGTCAGCTTTTCTTCTCCCCACTCACACATGTGGACACAGCCATGTGGACGGTTTGGAGTGGTGCTGGTGCTTTCTAGCTGAAAAGCAAGCCCTCTATGTGTTTTGGTGTTCCTAGAGACAGCAGCTATGAGGAGTGTCCTGGTGTTTGTCTGCCTGGTGGGGATGGCGAGCACCTTCTCGGTGAGTGCCAGGCGAGGGGGGACCCCGGCCTTGCCGGGGCTGGTGTGGGGCGTGTACCAACCCACCCTTTCCCCCAGGTCAAGAGCTGGCTGCTGCGACCCAAGCTGGATGACTCGGAAGAGAACGCGGTAGGGTCTCCCCGACCCTGCATGCCTAGTCCCACACGGGGCTGATGTGGAGGAAGAGCACATTTTGGTGACTCCTGTACCCAAGACCCAGACTGATGGGATTTCCCCCTCCTTTTCCTGGCAGGTTTTCAAGAGGCAGCACCGGCACTACCTGTACAAATACATCTACGTGTATTCCCCGCAGCGACGGTACCAGGTGGGTGCTTCCGAGGGGTTGCTGCTGCTTTGGCACCCTCCAAATGCAGAGACTTTGGCCCAAATGAGATAGAGGTATGGTCTGTGCCCTGTTGGCATGGCCTGTGGGCATGGGCACAGAACACTGTATTCGTGACACCACTGGGAACCCACCCACCTGCCTCCAACTTGGTTTTTCCTCTCCTTAGGGCAGTGACTCATCTGAGGAAGAGGGGGATGGCTCGGAGGAGGAGGAAGAGGGGGTGAGTATGGCAAACCAGCAGCCTGCAAAACAAATACGGGAATTTGGGAACTGTCTTTGGTTTTCTAGTCTCTGCTCATCAGCATTTGTGGTCACTGACTTCCCACAGGCTTGCACTCTGGATATAACTGGATTTTCTACTCTGGACCTTATTTTGGTTTTTTTTTTTTTGGTCAATATTTTCCTTTTGCTTTCTGTTTTCTTCCTGGGCAGGGGTTGCACCATACAACTCTGAAACAAATTCTCTGTGTTTCCATTTCCAGCAGCTCAGAAAGGAGCAGGACAGGCCAAAGAACAGAACCAGGGAGTTTCACACAAGGAAAAAAGTGCTGTTAAGAACTCCTGTTACCTTTCTCTTTCAGAGTCTGTTACCCCTATGGCACTGAGAACATCCCTATGGAAAATCCAGTTATGCTCTGCATGTGTGTCTGTGGAGTGACACAAGCTGATGCTATATTGGGAAAGTCAAATTTGTACCAGTCAGGTGGTAAAGCTGGTCCTGTCTGCTGGATCACTGGGAGCTTGGGCACCTCTGTAGCTGTGAGAGCAACTCAGGTCCAAAATTAAATGTAAGGGGTAACAAGGATCTTTTGTGCCTTATTGGGCTGCAAGTGCTCAAAAATAGTCCATTTGGTCTCAGGCACACAGGTGCTTTGAAATAAGGATCTGGTATGCTTAGAATCCTGTGTGTCACACCTAATCAAGTCTTTTATTTTTTTCTTTTTTAACAGTTATTTAATGAAAGCCAGGGAACTCTGCTTTGGGGGCCTGTCAGGGTTTGGGATATAGCATGGGGTTGGCCCCTGTGCCAGCCCTGGCACCTCCCTGCAGTTTGCCCCCTTTTTACCTGTTTCTCTCCCCTACCACTGCAATCTCTAGGGATAAATTTGAGCAGTGGGATGGGCAGCAACAGGTGGAATTTCATTTCTCAGGAAGAAATTAACTGGTATGCAGTAATGTAGCTGCTCTTTAGGTCTGCCCTTTTCATTTGGAGGGTTGTTCCCATGCAGGGATGCACCTTCACTGTCAGGGTGGTCAGCAAGATGAATTGTGCTAAAAGGCCCCAAGGTCAGTTATAGGTATGTAAAAAGCATTATCAAGTATATAGGTATGGGAAAAGAATTATATAGTCTGCTGTATAGGAAGCATTGCTTCCACTGGCACAGCTGGCTGCACTGTGCAATTTGATGGCTCTCCTGTTGGAGAGGAGAGCAGCCTGGATTTTCTCTGCCAGCAGGTGCACCTGTATGTCAAGGTCTGAGGTGCCCCAAAATGCCAGGGTAGCCATCCTTGGTCTGGGCATGTGAGCAGCAGGGGTTGCCCAGGGCAGCGATGACATTGACCTCAGGTGTTCCTGCCATGGCTGGGCTCCACCTCCCAGGCTGGGCCCTGGGTGAATTCCCCACCAGTTCCTCAGTGTCTGCTCCAGGCTCTGTTTGCATTTGGGTTATTTCTTACCCTTTCTTTAGCCGTGCACCCCCGGCTCTGCTGCTGATCTCTGGAGCCAAGTGTTGCCAATAGCTGATTGCTGGTGGGGTTTGGGCTCAGGCCTGACTTTGAGCCGTCACACTCTCACTGACCGTCCACACATGACATGCAGTGTGTCCACATGTAGTGTGCCTGTGGCTTTCTTTGTTTACTGGAAACTGGGGGAGGAAACTTCAGAAGAAAACCTTTAGATGCTTTGCAAAGCAAAATGTGGAGCCAGAATGGAAACACCCAACTCCAGCCACCACCACATAATTGCACAGCTCCAGTTGCCCTGCTGCAGCTTCTACATTTCAGCCTGGAACAAGACCTGTGGGAAAGCAAGGAACTCAGAGCAATGCCCAAATGCTCTGTGTGGATGCTCTGTACCCCTCTCGCTGCTGGGAGGCCTGTGCTGCACTCCAGCTGCTGACCCCCTGCCCTGTCCTGTACCTGTTCTTGTAGGAACCATTTTATGCTGGCACCAAGGCAGCTGGACACCCCGCTGGAGTAGCCCCTGAGGACTGCCAAGGTGCACTGACAGGAGATGTCACATCCCCCCAGCAGGTGTGGTTTGGGGAGCTAGAGGGAGACCCATGGGGAGGGGACTGTTCACTGCATGCTGGCTTGTACCCATGGGATGGCCTGCACCCTGTTTCTGCTTGAGGGGTTGCTGTGGAAATACCGATAGCTGGACCAAGCTCTGGGCATTAACCTGGGGCTGGAAGGGATACCCCAGAAAGACAGTCCTGCCGTGCAATGTGTGGGGGGATGCTCAGTTGTGCCCATACCTTCCCCTTCCCACATGGAGCTGCAGCCTCCTGACATCTGAGTAATGCTGTGCTGTCTTCCCTCTGCCAGAGCGAGGGCTGCCAAAGGATCAGGCAGAGGACTGCCAACAAGGAGGAAGACTCTGAAAATGAAGACAGTGATGAGAATGAAGAGGAAGAGGAGGACGAAGAAGTAGATGAGAATGAGAATGGTGTCAATGGCACAAGCACCAATACCACAGAGGGTATTGGACCTCATGGCAATGGCACTGTGGCGGCTGAGGAGGCCACTGGTGAAGCTGAGGAAGAGGAAGAAGGGGAAGAGGAGGAAGAAGAAGAAGAAGAAGAGGAAGAGGAGGAGGAAGAGGAAGCTGAAGCCACCACCATTGCAAGCACCACCAACGAAGAGGGTCTGACACAGGCGACCACTATAGATGATGGGGGACCCACAGATGCCACCACAGATGCCACCACAGTTGGGGAGCTGTGGGAGTATGATGTGACAGCCAGGGACCACAGCCGGGGTGAGGAGGGCACCACTGAGGGGGGGTACGAGGATCAGGATGAGTACGCACGTGGGGACAGCTACCGGGCCTATGAGGATGAGTACGGCTACTACAAAGGGCACGGGTACGATGTGTATGGCCAGGATTACTACTACAGCCAGTGAGCAGGGGGGACAGCCCTGCCAGCCCCAGCCACTCAGGAAGGTGCATTTGAAGGATCCCTGGAGCCACCACATGCCAGAGGGGATGCCAGGCATCTTGCCATGCACGCTGGCTCCATCCTAGGCTTTTTTTTTTTTTTTTTTGGTATCTTGCAAAGTGAAATGAAATGAAATGAAATGAAATAAAATGAAATGAAATGAAATAATAAAGCAACTGAACTGAGCTTGTTGATGACAAAAGGTTTGCTGCCAAATTTTCTGGGGTCAGTGCAGCAGCACAGTGCTTGCTGAGGGGCTGAGGGGCTACAGTTGCCCATGATGCTTAGGGCAGAATCTTGTTATTCCAGCTCAGATGCACATGAAAGGAGGGAGGAACAGCAAGGCTAACACGGAAAGCTTCTGTAGAGTGCCCTCTGAAAAATGAAAGGGTGCTCTTAGGGACACTGCTGTGGGGTTACAGCCACATTTTATGTAAAGTTGATGTGAATTTCCAATAAGTGAGCAGTGATAACTTTATCATGTCTTCTATTCCTTGGTAATGTGCCTCCCATGGCCTGACCACACACCAGGTAATGTTAATAAGGGTAAAACCATTAATTTCTCTTTCTGTGCATCACTAGCTGTAGATGCACACCCTTGTAATGAGGGCTTTGCTTTGTCCCTCCATCAGGCATGTAGGTACAAGGCTGGGCAACTTGGATGTGTGTCTTGAACACCAGTACTGCAGCCCAAAATGTCCCTGTCATACGTCCTCATTCCCAGAGCAAGGTAGGGCTGTCACAGTGACAGTGGTGTATCCACTCCCCTCCTCCATCAGCGATGGGGATGCCTAGCTGAGAGTCCTCAGGATCCCTGGCCAACTGGTGATCTGCATTATGGTCAGGGTTAGAACAAATCCCACTGGGTTCCAGGCAGATGCCACCATCTGGGAATAGTGATGGCCCTTATGAACAATTTATGGCAGGTACCATGCTGCTCTTGCACTCCTAGGAAGGGAGCCTGAGTTCAGCTTCTGATGTAGGTCCAACTGCAGAACTAGTCTATTTCTGCAGCAGCAAGTTGCTGGCCACTGTACAAAACTTCTTACGTATGCCAAAGCCAGGCTGCAGCTTCTGGGGAGGCAGGAGGTGCTGCCTGCAACGTTGGCACCCCTGGGGACAAATTCCTATGGGGGCACTGAGGAGCCCTGCATGCACTCATGGCTGGTGTGATGGAACACAAGAGTTCCATCAACCACATCCCCAGGGGGTGCCCAGATACGTCAGGGAACTGGCATGGACAAAGGGCCCTGGCACTGCCAGGGGCTGGGCCCTGTTCCTACAGGGCGCGTAGCCCAGTCCCATGTGCGTCAATCCCCCGGGCATCTGTCAAAGGCTCTCCTCCAGGAACCAAGGCACATGGGCTGGCCTCCCTGGGGGGTGGCATCCGACTGCCACTCCCTCAAGCTCCTGCTTGAGGCTGGATGCTGATGGTTTAAGCATTTCTGGTGATAATGCAGGAGTCATGCCAGCTCCCAGGGTTTGGGTTAGGGCAGAGTGGAGAGTGGGATGGGAGCTGCTGTCACCATCAGCACCACAGTGACTGCCTGAGCCAGGCTGGCTTCAGCACTGGAAACCCTTCGTGGCAAGGGTGTAGGTGACCAGCAATGCCACCAAAAGTAGAGGTAGGGAGAAGGAGGGCTTGTACATCGTGCACACCCTTTTAGCACTTCTTCGTAATGAAGCTGGGCCCAAAGAGACCTGTGCAAGCAGCGCATGAGAAAATATAATTTTTTTTTTTCTTTTTTGCCACTCTTCTATTTTGCACTTGCACAGGTTTAGTTCAGAGGAGTTGAGGTTGAAACCCAAAAAGCAAGTGTCAGAAGACACAGCATGGTGGTGGCTCTCAGCTTTGCCAACACTGCCCTTCTGTGCCAAAGGGCCAGGACCAGGCCTGGCTCTGGATCTTGCCCTTCCATTTCTGCAGCCCTGCTGGCTTTCCCATGTTAGTCACAGTGAGCAAGCCAAGACCCACTGCACACCCTCTTATCGATAACCAAGCTGGATGGGTGCCACACTAAGATCTGCACTAATCATTGAGCAATTTTGCCTTCAGAAGAGATATTTATAAACTATGCTTTCTGTTTATCCAGCCAGGTGGAACATTTGATAGCTGTCTTTTACCACAAACACATTTTTAGCTGGAAATTACTCCCCCTGGTTATCTGTGAGTGCTGCCAGAGCTGACAAATGTCCCTGGGCAGGAGCTGATTGGCTCTGTGCACCTGGGGCCAACTTTAAATTTCAGCAAAGTGGGCACAGGCTCCACAGTCTCCACTGGGACCTGCCTCCAACAGGAAAAGGTAATCTGCTTATCTAGCTTCCTGCCCAGTCTCTCCCTAGCCCTTCAACTCTGCTGCCAGGGCTTCTCCTGCTTTCACTCTGGGCAAGCCACAATGGGGATGGGGACATCCCAATCCTTGGCTGTGCACATCTCTTGAGCTTACATTGCTTTTGTACTGCTGATCCTTGTGCATGAATTTCCTTCTGGTGTTTCCTGTAGTAACACTGGTATGTCTTCAGTCACTGGGATGGACCTGCAAGCTCAAGCAAGAGTGGTTGGGTGAAATGAGAATTATTGGCCAATGGAGGTATTGCCTGCTGCCATTTATTAGTGCTGTGAAAGCCTGCTGCTTTCTTAATTCAGATTTACAAACAGCTTTGCTTGCAGCAACTTTGAGGGATCATTTATGGCAAATATCCACCCAAGCTGCTTTGACAGAGGAAGTTAGGCAGTTTAATAGGCAGTGTCAGAGCTCCCACTCAGAGCTGCTGGCTGTGCCCTAAGCATGTGGTGAGAGCATTGCCCTTGTTGTGAGGGATGCAAAGAGGCAGGACAATGCCAAGGGCCACCACAAAGCCTGGGAAAAGCTGAGGTCACTGGAAAACCCTCCTGCCGTGGGAGCTTTGGGATAGCAGGGGCTTTTAGGTCGCTGCTAACCAGGATTATTGAGGACCACAAGTCCCAGGAAGACAAACTGCAGCAACGCTTCACTTTGTACCTCCAGGAGCAGCCCAAGATGCAAGCATCCCTTGCCTGTCTGTGCCTGTGCCTGCTCAGCACAACCCTCGCCACACCCGTGAGTATGGCTTTTCCTGGGTTCTCAGCATACTGCTGGAAGCATGAGATGTGCTATCCTGTGCATCTTGGCATGCTTTCAGCAGCGGGAACACATGGGCTGTAGTTGTGTACACCACCTCTAGTGCCTGGGGAAGGGAGTAAGGTGGACAGCAGAAGCGAGCCCAGAAGAAAAATATATATATTAACACTGAGGGGGCTGAGCATGTCCCTTCAGTTTAGCAATCAGAGCATTGCACAAGTGTCTGTCTGGGTGGCTGGTACCTCTTCTCCTGGATTTCTGTGGATCTGGGATCTGCCCGGTGCTTTTGGCCTGTGAACAGCCTGAGCCAAGCCACAGGAAGGGAGGTATGGGAAGGGTGCTCATCTTACCTGTGTGGGGAACAGTGGTCAGCGGGGTGCCCACAATATTTTCCAGCTCTTCTAATGTGAAATTTTGAGAAATTTAACTAAAACCAGGGCAAACGAAGATGAGCCATTTTTGTCCTGCATAACTGTTGCTCAGCTTACTAAATACATAGCTAGGGTGAAAGTCTGCTCCTAGAAAAGGTTTGCTTTTTGTCAGGATAGGGAGGAGGGAAATCCCATCTTCTCTGAGAAGGCTCCTCCTCCCATGTGTATTTTACCCCCTTCTCTTGAGTCTTTACCCCACAGAGCAAACTCTCACAACCCAGTCTGCAGCAGAGCAGCCCAGGGGAAGGCAATAAATCAGCACAGATTTGCTTTTCAGATAGGGGCACAGATGGGAATTAATGCTATGCTGTGTGACCAGAGCTTTGACACTGTTCACAAACAATGAAACAACCTGGGAATATTCAATACTTTGGGGTGTGTTTCTGCCCCTTCAGATGGGCTTGGGATGTTTCAGTGACTAATTTTTCTGAAATCAAAGAGGACTCCCCTCCATGGGGCTGTCTCTCACTCTGGCATGTAGGGAATGCCTGAAATGGCTTTGTGGTGCTCAGCTACCAGCAGTAGGTCCCCCAACCCTGAGAGATGCACTAGCCAATGCCCACCAAAAGATGCCAGGATAATCAGGGAGAGCTGGAAGCCTGCAAGCATATACAGAAACCCAGCCGTGAGGACACAGAGGTCGCTGCTCAGTAGCTCAGCAAACACTGGCTGTAAACTCCACCAGTTAACCAGCTCCGGACTCTCATCACAGGCAGATCCAAGCAGTAAGCTGGAGCATTCTTTTTTGAGCAGTGGTACTATGTATTAAAAATGCTCTGTGGTAAAATCCTCTGCAGCAGTCTCCAGGAAAATATTATTTGTTATTTATCAATAATACCCTATGAAAGCTATCATGCAATACAATCATGCTGTAGCAAAATTCACAATACTTTTCGGATCCTGGAAATGGGATTTTGACCTTTCCTACTACTGCTGTCTTTAAGTCAGCACCCCAGGTAGTGCCTGGGAATTTATTGGCTTATCAATGCACTTTTCCCACCCTTCCCTGAAGGTGGGAAAAGGTGGATGGTCAGCAGTGGGCAGTGGCAGCTGCCTGTATGCTGAGGCAATATTCGATGCCTCAGCTCTTGCCTGTGTTTTGCTGCCCACAGGTGCCACCGCCGCTGCCTAGGAGAGCTGCTGGGAACTGTGTGGGACAACACCGGGTATGTATCCTTCTGCCACCTCCTGGGGCCTCAGTGGGTAGTCATGGGATTCTACTGCAGTGCCAGATACAGAAAGGGAAACTTCTGCCAATGTAATTAATAAGAAAATGGTGGGTTTTGGTTATTTTCTTCCCCACCAGATACTTCTGAAAAGCTGCAACGCCAAGCATGGCTTCTACATTTTCAAATATGTATACTCATACTCGACGCGGAGGAACCAGACACAGATAAAGGTAAGGCGGTGGCCAGGGGACACTGCTGGATCCCGGCTTGGCTGCGGTGCCCCCAGCAACAATCCATCACCCTGACCTCTCCCTTGTGTGTACTCCACAGAAAGAAGAGGCTGGCCACCAGAGCATCATCCCCAGCCACCGGCTGGATGAGGATAATGCCAGACGAGAGCCACCGGCTGGGTCGGCTGGGACGGCCCCAAAGCACAGTGACAACAGCAGCACTGAAGTAGTCGAGTATGGGATTGTCTTCAAACCTAAACCCCACAGCACCCCAGGCATCAGCAAGGATGGCCCCAGTCCTCACCCTGGCACCGGCACACGAGCGCGGGGCAGTGGTGGTGGCATGGGTCCCATCCCATCCAGCTCAGAGGGCAGCGGCGATCTGGATTTCGTGGTGGAAGTTGATGGCGGTGCTCCCGTTCTCTCTCAGGGTGAACGCCCCAGTGAGGTTGTGGTGGGGAACAGGTCCAGTGTCAGGAGTGAGGATAAGGATGATGGTGCCCCCAGGGTGACTCCGGGGGGGGGAGCCGTGTTTGCTGGGAGGGAGAGGGCCCCTACTACCAGAGGGGCAGGGGATGAGGGCAGCGGGGAGGCCACTGTCTCTGGCCAAGGGCAGGAGGGTGTTAAGCAGGGTACAGGGACAGGAGGCATTGCTTTGTCCTCTGTCACTGAGAAGATGGAGGATGTCCTAGTGGATGCCGCAGGTGTGGATGAATATGATTACATCCCCGATTCAGGCAGTGTCACCGTCACCCGTGGGAGCCTGGGCAGCACAGACAGGGCCAATGGCTTCACCCAGTTCTCTCCAGGCAAGGATGACGAGGTTAACATCTTCATTGGGAGGGCGAACATCCATGTGGGGGAGCAGGAAACCACGCAGGCTGGTGTCACCGTGGGTAGGGAGAATGACAGCATCCCCTCTGTGGGAAGCGGCAGGCCCCTCCGCAGGCTGGACGTCACTGCGGCACCCAGTGGTGAAGATGACAGCATCCCTGCCCACAGGCAGCCCGAAAGAATGGCCACCAGAGCCACCCCAACCCGCGGGGACAGCCTTGCCAGCAGCCTCAGGGACGGCCATCTCACTGGAGAGGATGAGGAAGGTGCCACCACCATTGGCGTTGATAGAGGACTGGTAACCCCTGTCGCCTGGACAGTCACTAGTGGTGACACTAGCAGCTCCACAGTGACCAGAATCCACGGGAAAGATGACGATGAGGAGAGAGGAGAGGGACAGAAGTCCAAGGGGAAGCCAGACCGTGTGGCTACCACGACCCCCCACCACTGGGATGACACGGAGGCCACTGTTGCTGTCCCAGCCAAGGGGGCCGGCATCCGCCCGGCCGCGACCGAGGGGGACCGCACCACGCCGTCGGTGACAGCCAGCAGCCACAGGGCAGGCACGGGCACTGTGCTGGGCAGAGGAGGCAGTGGGGAAGCAGGCACAGCCACCTCCAGACCCTCCCGTGCGGAAGGGGCAGGGGTGAGGGTCCGTCCAGGGGGAGCAGGGCTCGCCAAGACACCCAGGGTGGACACCGCACCAAGTGGGAAACCCAGCGGCTGGGCAGCGAGCGGGGCCCAGACGAGCGCTGGCGGCTCTGATGGCGATGCTGGGGGCAGGTCTCATGCCGCCAAAGCAGGAGGCAGCCCTGCCCCACAGGCAGGGCGAGACACGGGCAGCACGGCAGCGGGCCGGGAGCGGGGCCGAGGCGGAGCGAGCGCGACGGCAGCGCCGCGGGCCGGGGGCGGCCGGCGGCGCGGGCAGCCGGGCGGGAGGCTGGGCGCCGCGGCGCCGGGCACCGTGGCCGTGCTGGGCCGCAGCCGGCAGCTGGACCAGCTGAAGCGCGCCGACGAGCTCCACGTCCGCGAGCGGGCCTTCTACAGCCTCGGCGGCCCCCAGGGCCCCTACCCCGGCCTCGGGAGCTCCGACAGCAGCCAGTCCTCCGAGGGGGAGCGGGGCAGCCACAGCGAGAGCGGGCAGGCGGGGCTGCAGCCCTCGGGGTACCCGCAGGGCCGCTGGATCCAGGGGCCGCTCTGAGGCACGGCCGGCACCACCCCGCACGCCGCATTTTCTGCCTTGGCATCCCCACTGCGGGCTCTGCTCTTGCCTGGGTGAGGGGCAGGTTGCTGGGGGCACACGGTGCTTCGCAGCCCAGGAGCCAAAAAATCACTGGTTCACGCAATCTGCTGTTAATCTGGGGGAGGCTGCACATGGCACAGCAGCAGGAATGTACTGTGGGTGTGCTAGGGAACAGCAGCTATGCTACAGGGCATAGGGTAGCGGTGTTTGTGCACTGATGCAAAGCAACTAAGGAAGCATTGAGAAAAAGCCTCTGTCCTCGCTGTTTCACTTCCAGCCTACTGGAGAAATAAAGGCGTTTCTGTACCTGAGGATCTGCTGACTCTGGTGTTTGCAATGGGACTTCAGGCAGTCACTGCCACAAGCACCGTGCTGGGAGTGGGCTGGTCCCTAGGCATAAGGGGGTTTCTGGCCCTAGCACATCCCTGGCCCTGCCATTTCTTGTGGGACTGCAATTTGGCCAACAAGCCCCACACATCCCTCCCCTGGGGTACCAAATGCTGCCAGATCCTGCCCAGGGCCACCGGCATCCCTGGGCTTGCTAGGGAAGCCCACAGAGCATCCTTTCCTCCACGTCCCCCAGCAAGAAGTCCTCATCATGCCCTCCTGATGGTACATTTCCTGGCCACACTGTCCTTCCAGGAGCACCCTGGCTGTGCCACCGCCACTCCTGCCACTGGGCCCCGCACACAGGCCAGGCTGGGCTTTGACGTCCTGGAGCCATGCCCTCAGTGGTGCTTAGAGTTAATCACTGTTTATGCAATTGCAAGTTGTTTTTTCTGTCTGAGAAACTGCTAAAACAGGTGTGTTCAGCAGCGCACCAGAGCGAATGGCACAGCGGAAGAGGTGTTGAGCCTCAGGGAGAGAGGTATTGCCTCAGCACATGCTGAGGGGACTCACCACACATGCTGTGTCCATGCAGGGAGCATGTGGGAGCAGCCAGGAGCAGCCACAATGTCAGTGAAGTACCCACAGAGTGCCTGCTTCCCTGCCCTCTGCACACCTGCATGAAGGGAAGTGGCAGATCCTGTTATTGGACACAAAATCACAGGATGGTTTGGGTTGGAAGGGATCATAAAGATCATCTAGTTCCAACTCCCCTGACACAGGCAGGGATGCCACTCTTTACACCAGGTTGCTCAAAGTCCCATCCAGCCTAGCCTTGAATGCTTCCAGGGATGAAACATCCGTAGTTTTGTGCAGCAACTTGGTACTTAGGGGTCATACATGGTTGATTCATGCTGGAACACCAGGACACTGTGTGAGAAAAGATTTAATTTAGTTTATCAGTTACCATCAGCTCTTGGGAATCTGTTACTGCGCATGGTCTTCAGGAGAAAAAGTCAAAAATTCCATGTGGCCACTGTGGCCCCCACCAGAATATTAGGTCCTGGTGTCTCTGGGGAAGCTGCTCTGTGTAGCTTGGTCCCTGCTGCAGGGCCATGGAGATTTAGGCAGTCTGTGGCAAGGATTTGCCTGCAGTTTCCTAGGCTTGAGGCAGCATGCAGAAGACCCCCAAGGGCTCATGGACCTCCCATGCTGGCCCATCCGGCTCAGACTAAAAGGTGCTGCAGGGCTGCTGCCAGTCTGGGCTGGGTGACTCACCCCTAGAATAGGCACAGCACATCACAGCCCTGGATTTATGGACTATAGCAATGCTCTGGGGGTCTAGGGCTCAGCATGATTGCCTGGAGAATGAAGAGGGTGGTTTTGGGGTCTCACCGCTGACAGGGTTGGAACTAAGGAGTTTGCAGCATAGCGCCCAGGCCCCTCCAATCCTCAGTCCTGACCGTACCCTTGTCCAAAGGTTTAAGCAACATCCTTAAGCAAGGGCTGAGCACCATCTAGTGGAATAAAAAGCCTGTTGCTGGAATGGTTTTGTGTCTGTTGGATGCCTAGTTCTGCCTTATGCTGGTTTCTTGTCCCACTTCTTCCCCGAGGCCTGGGGAGCTCTGCCTGAATGGCGAGGTCAGGTGTCAAACTGGCTAGTTCAGGTATAAATGGCATACCAGCATTACCTCCTTGCACAGTTGCTGCAAAAGCACCTGGAATTTTTGTGCTGTGACTCTGGCTCTACATCTGGGAGAGTACAGCATTTTGGTACACTCACCCTGAGGCCCCTGCTCAGCACCACAATGCTGCCTGGTCCTGCTCTTTCAAAACTCACCTGCCAAATAGCACAAGAGGCCACTGAACATAAAATGTGCACGTTTTCCTAGGAAAAGGTTTTCCCAGAGTATTGGAGCAAAGCAGGGAGTTGGTTTTTCCTTGCAGTGAAGGGTGAGCAGATGAGGGCTGGCAGGATGGGGGTTGGCAGTGTGACACTGCCCATCCCTCATGCTCAAACACTCTCAGCAAGCTGAGCTAGAGGTAGTCACCAGGTCTGAGAGAGGTTCTTCTGTGGCCCTTTGCTCTTTGACTCTGCGGAGCTGTGTGTTTTTGAGAAAAGATTCGATTTAGCCTTTTAATAAATACACATTTACATTATGTTCCTTGTGTTTTTTTTAATCAAGGGCATCAGTGATTTATCTGCAGGTGTTTCTTCACTCTGGGACAGCAGAGGCTGTTGCTGAAGTGATTTAAGGTCATTCATCCCACCCTGTAAGTGCATGAACCCAAGTGAAGAGTGGTATGTACTGTCTGAGGGTACAGAACAAAAAATAAATTGTCCCTAAAAATCCCACCTACTCTTATGAATGCTAATTGTGTTCATGTGGCCAGGCAAGTATGGGTACACACTGCTGCTTCAGGCCAGAAAGGTTGCAAAGAACTGCTAAAAGGCTTTTAAAAAGAAATCTAAAAGCCAATGATGCACTTTGAGGAACCATTCAAATGGAATTTTGAAATGTATGTTTTCAGCTACAGAGATCAGTGCTGGCTGTATGGAGGGGGCAAGTGGTGCCCATCACAAATAGCCCTTCTCAGATGTTTTCTTGACTGTGGGGTGGTAGTGGGAATTGCCCAGAGAGACAATGGTGCCTTCCCAGTTGTAACACCATGGTTTTTCAGAGGAGGGCAAAAGCAGACAGCCAGAGGGAGCAGTTGAAAGCACCTCTCAAAAGGGACAGAGCATGGCTACAGGACAATAATGATTTTCCACCTCACCTGCTGTGGTTACTCAGTGAGACCCATCTTCATCCCATGACAAAGACCAGGGACTGAGAGGGACTGAAATACTGTGCACACCCCCAGCAAGCCCTTCTTCCCAGTGCTCAGCCTTCCTGCTCCTAAGCTGGCAGCCAAGGCTGGGCAACTGCAGGGGGCCTGGGTACATCCAGGTTTTTGGATGATGGAAGATGCCCCAAAGCCTCCATCCTTTGCCTCATTGCCATTGAGGAGGGTGCAAAGCAGCCCCAGCAATAAAAAACCTGAGGTTTATTTCTGCAGAAGAAGCCACACAGAACTGCCTATTATCATGGGGGTTCAAATATGTTTTTACTTACTCTGAACAGTCTCTAACAGACCATCCACCAGCACTTCCCTGTAAACATTTTGGAAAACATACTCTGAAGTCAGAACTGTTGCTATAGTCAAGTAAAGGCACATTTTGACACATGGAGTAAAACGCAAATCTCAGTGACATAAGTAAAAAATATTATTAGCCAATATTATAATCCGTTTAGGGCCTCTTTTGGTAATCCTTGCCTATTTCCCTGCATCCTCATGGTGGCTTTAGAGGGACTGGTCTGCAAGGTTTCTTTGGAGTGCAATCGCCTTGCAACTGGATACTTCATTAAACAACATCCTATACTACATTCACCCTTCTTAAATTGCTTTTTGGGCCTCGCTCTGATCATCAGGGTACCCCTGATTTTGGAGAGTACAGAGCTGACAATCTCTGGCCAGTGAACTGTGGGTTTCTCACTTCCTGAGGTTCTCTGGGAAAAAACCTCTCCTGCCAAAAAATCCTGGCAAACTCTAGCCATTGTGTGAAAATCCCAATGCTATTCCTCCAGGTGATTAATATACCAAGCCAGTCAGTCTGGGTTCAGCTTAGGCTGTTGGCTATAACTAATCTTTTAAGTTTGGGAAGTTGGTAGATACAAATTTCTTCTGTCGTGAAATGGAATGGCAGGGGTGTTTCAGAGATCTTACACCTTGCTTCAAAGCTGGCCTGCATGGGAGGAGATAAAATAGGTATGTCATCCTTTCAGTTTCCCTGCAATGTGCAGAGAAGGGGCAGGAGCTTTGTCTCCCTCCCATCAGGTGATGAATATTTTCAATAGTGGCTTTAATTTAAAAAGTGCTGGGCCTTACAATGAAGTCTCCCAGCCCCCTGCTGCCATCCAGCAGCGATGAGGAAGATCAAGCCTGACAGCCTTCAATGTTTGACTTACTGAAAGCTGACCCTTCTTTTCCTCAGTGCTCCCTCCTCCCTTATCCCTGTTGACACATTCCTGCAAAAAGCCATCCAATTCCACCCCAAAATACAAGTGGAGCTGAGCCCACTCAGCCAATATCAGCTGTACCTGTAGAGTAAGTGAACGGACTCCCTGCCTTAACACATGGGATGTTTCATATGCCAGTAAATCCACTTGTGCTTCATCTCATTTTAAACACTTCTGCTTTCCAAAACTGCTGGGTCCAAAGGGCAGTTTTCTAATGCTTGAAATAAAAATGCTAAGGTGCTAGATCAATTCCAAATACATATTTAATATATGAATAAGTAAGTATTTTGTGCCAGGCATTGAATGTGAGAAATGAAGGGTGAGTGTATGATGACCAAAACCAGCCTTTGTTTCAATTTCCAGACACAGGACTGAGAAAAATGGGAAAGTTGTCCCCATCTATCTTTAAACACTCAACACTTTGCCCATTACCTGATAACAACTGTTGTATCAACAGAGAAATTATGCTAAGAAAAGATCCTCCTCATATAGATTATGAGCTGAAAATATCCATATACTACCCACAGCACTGGATGAATTTCTACCATCCTCCCCACACCCAAGAACAGC